TCGTCATGGAGAGCGCCGGGATGATGAAGATGGCCACCGGAGAGGGATTCCCCCTCCGGCAGGGTGCCAGAACGGGTCTAGATTGGTTTTCGGTGGCTACGGAGGCTTCTAGCGGCGGAACTCCCGATCTATTCTGCTCCCCGATGGTTTTAGGGTATATTGGTATATATAGGAGGAAGAAATACGTCAGTGGGGCCACGAGGGGCCCACGAGGGTGGAGGGCGCGCCCCCTCCCTCGTGCCTTCCTTGTTGCTTCCCTTACGTACACCCCAAGTCTTCTGGATTGCTTTCGTTCCAAAAATAAGTTCCGTGAAGTTTCAGGTCAATTAGACTCTGTTTGATTTTCTTTTTCTGCGATACTCTAAAACAAGGAAAAAAACAGAAACTGGCGCTGGGCTCTGGGTTAATAGGTTAGTCCCAAAAATATTATAAAAGTGCATAATAAAGCACATAAACATCCAAAACAGATAATATAATAGCATGGAAAAATCAAAAATTATAGATACGTTGGAGACGTATCAGCCCCCTTTGCTTCTCTCCTTCTCCCTCTTCCTTCTTCTCCTACTCCAACTAGGGAAAAGGGGGAAACCTACTCCTACTAGGAGTAGGAATCCTCCTTGGGGCGCGCCATATAGAGGGCCGACCCTCCCCTCCTCCACTCCTTTATATACGGGGGAGGGGGGCACCCCATAGACACACAAGTTGATAGTTGTCTTAGCCGTGCGCGGTGCCCCTCTCCACAAATTTCCACCTCAGTCATATCCTTGTAGTGCTTAGGCGAAGCCTTGCGTCGGTAACTTCATCATCACCGTCATCATGCCGTCGTGCTGACGAAACTCTCCCTCGGCCTCAGCTGGATCAAGAGTACGAGGGACGTCACCGAGCTGAACGTGTGCAGATCGCGGAGGTGTCGTACGTTCGGTACTTGATCGGTTGGATCGCGAAGATGTTCGACTACCTCAACCGCGTTTCTTAACGCTTCCGCTTTCGGTCTACGAGGGTACGTGGACACACTCTCCCCTCTCGTTGCTACGCATCTCCTAGATAGATCTTGCGTGATCATAGGAATTTTTTTTGAAATACTGCGTTCCCCAACACGCGGTCGGTGATTTCCGCCACCCATGTCCCCCACGACCGCTGCCGGACGCCGAGGAAGGTCCTCGTCGGTGGCCGCGGCGGAGGGGTGCAGCGGTGGGCGGATCTACCGAGCGGTGGTGGCTTGAGGAAGCGGTCGCAGACATGGCGGGATCCGCGTTGTGGATCGACGGAGGGGACCGGCGGCCACCGTGTCCGGCCATCGGGAGGAGAGGGGGCAGCGGATCGGGGCGGGGGACGCGTCGGCGGCGGGGCGACGGAGAGAAGAGGAGGCAGAGAAGAGGAAGAGAGGGGCAGACTTTTACTCGGCCGCCGTGAGCTGGAATAAATATAAGGAGATGAACAGGGATGGAGTAAAATTTTTACTCCACTGACCGTTATAAGGGATCGGTTAGGTGCGGTTTAGAGGAGAAAAAATTCGATAAAGGATTGGTTAGAAATGCCCTGATCCATAGAGCCTGAGCCGTAGTTGCCGACAAACATTCCAGATCTTCTACTGTAAAGAGAAAGTATTGTAGACATGCATCATAGAGATGCGTTGTTCTTTGGTTTCTGTAGACACGCACTGCAGACAGGTGTTGCGGTGTGACTAGTCGATGTATGAATGTGGGATTATATTGGATGTCAAAACAAGTTTGAACTGTACTGTTAGGACATATGCGGGCGATTTGAGAGTCATATTGAACATGCCTTAAGTGACTGAAAAATGCTGATCACTTGCATTCAGTACACAATGCTATTTGTATAACGCAAACAGGCTCATTCTTTTTGTTTTTTAATTCTTAACTAACTGTTCGTAGTGTTAATTGACTGAAAAATGGTGCAGTAGTATTTGCATTTCCTAATGACTTAGAAAAACCGATGTTTGTTTCGGCTGTGCTGTGCTGCGCTGGATGGACCGAGCATCAAGTGTGGGGTGTTTGTACTTTGGATGGCCGCTGTCCGTTGGATGGTGGTTGAGTAGTTGCAGCGTGATCTCTGTCCGGTGGTGTGGTGTGGTGTGATGCGCCGATGCAACTGCCCGACGTCGAAAGCGCCCCCAAAGCTTGCCCCCGCGATTAGACGTCGGTCGGTCGGTCGCTCGTCGGCGCTCAGGTCCTTTCTTCCTGGACCCAAGCGTCGTCACGTCGTCGTTGCATGTTCCCTGAGGTATGGATGGATAGCAGCCTGCGCGGTGACAGTTTCCTAATGCTCACCTTTTGCAGGTTTGATATTCGTCACTTCGTGATACGGGGACTGGACACGGACGGAAGCTTCTCGAATCTGGACCGGGTTTTTTTCTTCAGCATGCAAGTTTGGTACGGTGCGCACGGGCTAGCTTTTTGGAGGGAAACCGAGAGCGCACCCTTGGAATGTTTTTTTTTTTTGAAAGTGCGCCCTTGCGATGTTGAGACGTGGAAGAATACCCACCATACGCCCGGATGGGCAAGAATGTTGAACGTCGACCACAGGCGCGCACGCAGCAGCCAGCAAGCGGGCTGAATACCGGACCCTCGCCTCACCATTGTCACGTGGTGGAATGGAGCTACCAGCGGCGTATGAGCAGCGAATATTGGATCCGGATCACGTGGAGCTGCCGGGCCGGCAAACACCTGCTAGGCTGCCATGCCAAGATTCTGATGCCCTGGGCGAGGCAGGCGACATTGCCCCGCTGCTCTGACCTGGCCGGCCCGATCAACGACGCACCCACCACGCCGCCGCCGCCGCCCGCTCGCTCATAGAGGAAAAGCACGAGGACCCAGGGAGCGTGCACACGGCCAGCCCCTCCCCCCAAGAATCGGAGCGGCCGGGCGAGACCGCTGCCCGCGCTGGGACGGGAGCGGGATTCCCTTTCCTCCCGCACACGGAATAACGGGATCCCTTGCAGCTCCGGCCACGGCTTCCCCGGGAAGACGCCATGGGCACCACCATGAGATCGGACCTGCTGGCTCAAACAAACAAACTAATCCGAGCACCAGATAAGATGAGATTGAGATGAGATGGGCAGGCAGAGAAAGAGAAAGAGAGATTCCATCCACGAAGAAAATCACCCACCCCCGCCCCCGACGAAAGTACCGAACCAACTCCCATTGGGCCAGGCAGGCACGCATGGAACTGCGACACGCGTAGAGGCGACCGAGCGTGTTGTGTTGTGTCGCCGTGGGAGTGAGCCAGAGGCCGGGAGCTTCGCCGGGAGCTACCGACTAGCTTCCCTTTGGCCCCATCGTAGCGTCCCCTTTGGCTGGCCCCGCCCGCGGTGGGGGGTCCCGTAAATAGAAGCCACGCGTCGGGGCCCCTCGCGTGCCGCTTTATAACAGGCGCCCAGCCCCCCGCGGAATCCCAATTTCAACCAAATCAATTCCCCCCCTTCCTTCCACCCTCCCTCCTCGGGAGCTCACCGCACCGCCGCTCCTCCTCGCTGCTGGGAGGGCAGGGGAGGCGAGGGCAGGGCAGGGGAGGGGAGGAATCATATTCCTCCTCCGGCCGGCCGACGCTCCTGGTGGCCTCCGACGTTCATTCCACACCGCCACGCCCAGCCCCTTGGTTCTTTTGGTGCCGTCCACTGCGGCTCCTTCAAGCGGTTCGCCTTCTTCGCGCAGGTGAGGAGAGAGAGGCTCCTCCGGTTATAATTACAAAAAAGGCTCCTCCGGTTGTTAATTCATCTTGCGTCGTTGTGTCGATGTATAATTGCTTGCTCGGTTTGCTTTCCTGATATGATACCAAGCGGGAATTTCGGGGTTCCTAGGATTCGGCCGAGTAAACGCGCCTGTCTTTTTTTAGAAGGGTCTTTTAATGCCTTGTTATTACCAAAATCGGAATGCGGTGCTGCTCCTTCATCTGCATGCATTCCGGAGTATATCCTGCCTGTCGTTTGGGTCGATTTTTCTTCTTCAAGTTCTTGATACACTACTAGTAATCACCAGCGTTTCTTGTTTCTTCTATAACTGTTTCCCCCCTTTCGAATCAAGGGGCTCACCGTCCCCCCATCACATTTGCATGAAACTGATAATACATACAGACAACCCCAGTTTTGAGCCAGTTCAAGGTAAATTCAGCATCCCTTCAATCTATAGGTTCCTCTGTTTTGCTGAAAGGAAGGGCAGGGATTGAATTGAATCATGGCGTATGTTGAGCACACTTACGTTGGGAAGCAGTGTTCTAAGTTGAGAGGATGGGTGCATCGAATTTGTGATTCCATCTCGGGGTCTCTACAGTTTTTCAACAGATGGAGATCTCTGATTTGGTTTTACTGTACAAATTTACTAGTAATATTTAGCACCACTCTGTTTTGTACTAAGATCAAATACCTGCGTGAAACTTGCGTCAGCTTTACAGTTTTCCATTTAGGCATTATACGAATGATGATTTGGGACCATTGATGGCTCGTTTGCTTCGATTATTCCAGATCGTCAATTGTACGGTGACATTAATTGATACGTAATTAACACTGCCATGATTCGTTCCAAGGATGACAGTGACCCCTCATCTATCTCCTTCACTGGAACGGCCATGTCCTTGTCACACAGAAACTGAAGGTCCTACCTGATATACGCGACGTCCAAGCAGCTGAAACTACACAAGTTTTGCCGAATCTCAGTCATCATTCAGTAGTTATATGATATTATCACCTTCAAACCATTTATTTGAATTTTGAATACAATGGGTGTGTGCATGACCTTACCAAGACAGAACTGCGCCCCTGATTTTAAAAGTTGATTTTTAGTCATGACAAGCAAATTAATGCAGTGCAGTGGCTGTTTCAGCAAAATGTACGCCCAATTTAAATCTGAAAGTTAGTTACCAAATTTGACCTGCAGAACCACAAGTGGTGCAGGGGGCTAGTTATTACATTTCCATGCAAATGATGCGTGGTCCTATATACTGTTGTAATGATGATGCATTAACATTGCAGGTAGCAAGCTCAAATGGAGAACAGTTTCGAGAAAAATAACATGCTGAAAGAATTCTACATTCCGACCTATATTTTCATGCCAGAATCCTCGGTGGAGCCAGTTTCTCACATACCCACCTGTCCAGTGATTGTTTTTATCAACACCCGAAGTGGTGGCCAACTTGGACATAATTTACTTGTCACATACCGCAAGCTTCTCAATCATGCTCAGGTACATATTTTCAAGCTTACAAGATGTACTTGTTCATTATTACAGTACCCATGCATTTTTACCGCCAGAGATAAATATATTGATTTAGGGCAAGTTCTAAATTTCTGAATTGCAGGTGTTTGATCTACTTGATGAAACTCCAGACAAAGTCTTGCACAAAATCTACAGCAACGTGGAAAGGCTCAAGCGTGATGGGGATACTCTTGCTTCTGAAATCCATAGGAGATTGAGGCTAATAGTGAGTGCAGATGGGCATTGCTCTCCAAATATCCTGCTAATGTTTTGACCATAATTTTCGTGTTCGTTGTTTGAACAGACTGAACTTACATATTATTATCATGGAAATTTAATTAGGTTGCTGGAGGCGATGGAACAGCCGGCTGGTTGCTTGGAGTTGTATCTGATCTCAAGCTAGTTCATCCACCTCCCGTCGCTACAGTTCCCCTGGGAACTGGAAATAACCTGCCATATTCTTTTGGATGGGTATGTACTTCGGAAGTAGTTAATTGAAACAATCTTGTTCCTGATATGATAGATCTTCTTATACTACCGCAGCGTGTTATACTTGCATGAGCCTTTTCTGTTAGACCTTCTTTTACTCGACAGTATGACCTAAAACGTTTGATCCAAATATTTATCCTTTTTACTGTGCGTAAACGAAATGTACCATCTTTGGCAAAAACTTGCCTTTTGTGATTTCATCTGTATGTGTTAGTTGCTATACGGTACAATACTTTATATGATGTGCTGTCAACTCAATAGTAGCGCGAAAAATGATTTGCAGGGCAAGAGAAATCCTGGCACAGATCGTGAGTCTGTCATATCGTTCCTAAAGTTGGTAAAAGAAGCAAGAGAGATAAACATTGATAGGTCAGTTTCTTTTCTACAGTTTTCACGATACTTCTGTATGTGATCTTCATCTGGATGTTATCTAACATTGTTATTACTACACTGTTTCAGCTGGCATACTGTCATGAGAATGAAATGCCCAAAACGTTCTCCTTGTGATCCAATTGCTCCTTCTGATTTGCCGCATTCTCTGCATGCATTTCACCGTGTGCCAAAGACAGATCCAGAAGATATGGTAACTACTATTTATGTCGATTAGTTTTATGTATAACTCACCTATTCATACTTTTGTGTTAACTTAGTTGTTGTGTTCTTCTTTTCAAATGAGTTTGTTTTCTGGTAGTCTGTTATGTATTTTTGGAAAAAAAACACCGTCATATCCTTCATTATACATATTTGTCGTGTGGGCGTGATAGTTTAGACAAATATCTAGTTGTTATCTGACAAAGATGACCAGAGCGTTCCTGCTGAAAGTATAACTTCTTGCTTGCGGTCTGATAATCGCTAGGTTTTCAAAATAATCTATACATTTTAAATCCATAAATGTGACTTCGTTATAATGTTTCTTTCGCGGATGTTAAGAAACCTCAGTTTACTTGCTCTATATGTCAACTATTGAAGAAGAGAAAGTGAACCTTATAAATCATGTGAGTCCCATAGTATGTGTATAACCTTATTTTTTTTATTTGTTCCAGGAATATTCTTACACATATCGTGGAGGGTTTTGGAATTATTTCAGTATGGGTGAGTTTTCTTTTTCTAAGTGTATTTTATATGTTGGGGATTGATTTTTTAATTGATTCTTGTTCTTTTACGAAATCGAGCAGAAAGAGAAGAACAAAAGCTTGTTTAGCTAAATAGCCGAAGGCTTATGTAGTGTACTTGCTGTTTGCTGTAGACCCTTGAGAGATCATGCTTTTGGCTGCTTTTTGCGTAATAAGTAGCATCAAGTTGAACTGCTTTTGGCTTTTTTATTTGCTTAATTCCTGTAAGAATCTTGTTCTGTACCGGTTTCTTTAAAGGAAATCGATGAGGAGGATCGTTCGTTTTTTAGAAGATGGTCAAAAGCTGAAAGAATCTTTCATACTGTCACAGGAATGGATGCACAAGTGTCTTATGCATTTCATTCTCAGAGGAAATTGCACCCAGAGAAATTCAAGAATCAGTTGTCTAATCAGGTCAACTAAGCATCTGTGCAATTTCTTTCATTTTATTTATTTATGCATTCATTGCTTGCTTTTAGTTTCTCTCTTGAAACCAACCTCTTTTGGATCTGTTGTGCAGAAACAGTATTTGAAGCTGGCATGCACACAAGGATGGTTCTGTGCCTCTTTAAGCCATCCAATGTCACGGTAATTACTTGTTTGGCACTAACTAGGATATGGGACTGTTTTTAAAATGTTCGTCACAAACTCAATACTTTTACATTTGAACAAATAGTCAAGGTTTCTTATTAATATTCCATTTGGCTAATAGTCAACTTTTCTTAATAACATTGCATTTGGCTCACATCATTCTTGGATGCCTTCCACTGGATAACAGGAATATTGCTCACCTTGCAAAGGTAAAGATAATGAAGAAATCTGGAAAATGGGAAACCTTGGAAATTCCACAGAGGTAATTCTAATGTGTTTCCCTTTTTCGGTATTGAAATTGTGTGCCCACAATGTTTAGGAGAGTATGTTCTCATCTTTGATCATGGATGGAACTTTGAAGTTCCAGTTATAGCACAACTGTTTCTGTAAAAAGGTGCAGCATAAACGAGGCCACTTGTCTATGCTTCTTGCAAAAGTTGCGGATACTCTTGATCTAAACCATCAAATCTCTCGTCAACAGCTCACAATGTACTTGGATGTTCCAATTTACTTAACTACACACCTAGGGTATAGTTAATTCTTAATCAACCTCATTAATTGCTTCTTGATTACAAGTTTTCTAGGTTGTGATTTAGCTATGCTCAATCCATATATTTGTTCTTTGATTGAAGTATTTCACGAGAAAAGAACGGAAACATTACATTTATTATCAATATATATTGCTAGAAACATGCATTGCATATGCATAAAAATGCTATCAAGCTTAATAGGCTGGAGGATTTCACTAATAAGGTTGACACATCATACTTGTTTCTTACTTACATCTCTTGTAGAATCTTCCCTAATTCATTACCACATTTCTAGGTACTCGCCTTGTTTTGAACAGTCAAACCTAGAAAACTTTGACTAATCGTATCTTTCCAAGTATTTACTTTGATTATGTTAAAATACATTTTTAAACAAGGGTTTTTATCATTTATGCCACTAGTTGTGTCTCACTACTCAGTTTTGCCATTAGAAATTACAACTACTCAAAAATGCCATCGATTCGTGAGATGCTTACTCAAAAATGGCATTAGATATCTCAAAAATGCCATCGTTCCTTTAGATGTTTGCTCAAAAATGCCATTAGACATTGTTATTTTCACGTCAAATTCGTTGACCATGTTATAAAAACCCAAACAAGGTTTTTTTTTATCATTTATGTTGTTTTACCATTCACTTCCATGACATTCCATAAATGCATTAATACAAAACAGGTGTCAACGAAACGATATGATGTCATAATTCTTCTTCAAAATATGGGACTACTTAGTAATGTTCTGAGCAAGTTTTTATGCAAATGCAGTATCCGGTCCATTGTCTGTCTCAATTTACCCAGCTTCTCTGGTGGACTGAATCCCTGGGGAACACCAAGTAAGAGGAAGCAAAGAAAAGTAAGTATAAGACTTGATTTTAACATCATTCCTAGTATAGCAACAATTTGTGCTGCTATTGCACTTTAAACATCTTTCTCTTAGTAATACCTAAAATCTTAAATTATACTGTTGCAGAGAGACTTGGTACTGCCTCCACTTGTGGATGATGGCCTTCTGGAGATTGTGGGTTTCAAAGATGCTTGGCATGGCCTTGTTTTGTTATCTCCGAAAGGCCATGGCACTCGTCTTGCTCAGGTAAATAAAAAAATGATTGTACTATATATACCTTGGCCCTAAAATGTAAAGCTATGGACTTGTCATGAGTCGAATGTTTATGTGTTCAGTTTAAATTAAACTACTTGATGGATACTGAAATCCTATTCCTTTCCAGGCCCATCGTGTCCGATTCAAATTTCACAGAGGTGCAACTGACCATGCCTACATGAGAATCGATGGTGAGCCCTGGAAGCAGCCTCTTCCACAGGAGGATGACGGCAAGGTCGTCGTGGAGATATCCCACGCTGGGCAGGTCAAGATGCTCGCGACCAAAGACTGTATAGCCAAAGGCATCAACGACTCCCCTGGTATGGCAACAGCCTGCACAGATTCCAGCTCCAGCGATGACTCGGATGATGACTTCACAGAGGAGCGGAGGAACTTCGGCGCCGCCTTGTCCTTCCGGTACATGAATGATGTGAAAAAAACAGTAGAAGCTTGAATCTCTAACTGGGCCCTGTACAGTTTGTCCTGCGTAGGAGATATAGATCGTTGCACTGATTTTGTGGAGCAGTGGACGTTGCCCCTGTAAGATCCTTTTGCTGGCAAGGTTGATTGTGTATGGCAAAGTTGTTGTGGCGTATGGTGCAGTGGGTTTACTTACGTCATAAGCACTAACCGACCCAATTTCTCCGCTCCTCTGCAGTCTCCAGTAAGGTGGTAACACATAAACTAAGAAACAACAGTCATAACTCATAAAGGTATTTAACCTTATATAAACCGTAATTTGTCATGCCAGTAAGCCAACAAGTTTGATCATCGCATTGCCAGCATACGCAAGATTCTAAAACTGCAGGAGATGGCTCCCGATTATAGAAAAATGGTTGTCATGGCTCCCTGAATCCTACAATATTTACCTACATGGCCTTTCGGATGCTATACATGAATCCGAAGAGAGAAAACACAAAGCATGAAATGTAACCTATTGCTATGATTCTAATAAAGGATTGGGTTTGTAAAAAGAACACTCCATATGAATTTTGGTGGTATCATTCATTTGGTGCAAGGAGCCTCCATAGAGAAAAATCTTCTTAACAGAAGTACTACAGAATTCTGTAAAGGTCTTGAATCCAAAGATGCCTGAGGATCACACGGAAGAGTTGCTTGTTTATGTGCAGGCTACTGACTAGAAACACTTTTTGTCATTGCCCAGCTCTGAATCATTGCAGACAAGCTACATAATAATCCTATGAACCACGAGGTAGAAGCTCAGCAAAATGTAATGTGATGTAAGTCTATCCTGATTTCCTATTACCAGCTTGCTTGCATCCTGTTTTTCCTTCATTTAAATGGTTTTGCGGAACTAATTTTAAAACAGAGGCCAGTGAACTTACATATGATGCTTTGAATAGATGAATAGAACCAATCAACATGCAACAAACTGAACCAAATCTTGTAGGATACATACGGTAGTTTCGGTTAGTCCTGCAATGCACTCATGTCACCGTAGACACTAGAGCAGTATGGGCATAACTGGTAAGTGATGAACCATCATATGACTTATGAGCCGTCGAACTGCGGTTCCAACTTTGAAGCCAAAAAAAGAACATGAGGTTCACTCTGAACCTTTGCCCTTTGCTGCAGACAACGAAGGGTATAGGTGTTCGAACAACAGCCAACCTGTGAATGGTATCTCACAACATGCCCTGTGGTTTCACCTGCAGATGTAGAAAACAACATGAGAACCTGAGGATAAAGCACGTGATAGATTCTGAATTTCTAATCTCAAAGGATCAAATGAGATGCTGTAAACATACATCCAGTAAAAAGAGCCAGTGTGCTTACCAATATGCAAATTCTTGATGATGAAATTGGTACGCGTAGATAGCCTGTTTATAGATTAAAAATAGATCCAGCTGACATTATATTTTCCTCACTTGCAGTACTCTTTTGACATGTGAATATTCAGTCAGGGAAACCTAGGCAGAAACATGATTCATCGAGGACCACGTAGTCCATAATTAAAACTAGATAAAAATAGATATTCAGAATGTACAAGAAAAGCATAGTTAACAAGGCCCTGGAAGGAAAGCAATTGTGCACATACCATTGCTCATGGAAGACAAACCAAAATGTTTATAAACACGGAGAAGTATAGTCAAATAATTCAACAATTTAGTCTCAAACTGCTGAAACTGAGAAGTGTTTCTAAGAAACTTTATTGGCCTGTATCTTTTATTCGGCCGTTACAAGTATGAACATGTTTTTATCTTATTTGCTTGTGTTATCCTCCAGACCGTCCTTTTGATTTCCTTGGTCTTCACACTTCAAAGATCTGAACAAGATAACTTCTGTTAGTGAGATTTCTATAACTGAAGACTACTCAAATATAAAATATTTGGAGTAAAAAGCATATGATAGTGTAAAATGGAAAGTTTTGATATCTAAAATAAATCTACATGCTAACAGGGTAATTCAAAGGTGTACAACTAATTAAGCACAAAATATGCTGGGTTCTTATTTTTGAAAGGCAGCTCAAATATATAATGAGGGAAATAAGGTAACACATCTAGTGAACTACTCCTTCCGTCCCATAATATAAGAGCGTTTTTGACACTACGCTAGTGTAAAAAACGCTCTTATCATGGGACGGAGGGAGTAGGAAAGAGAAAGTTTCAAAAACATAATATATCTCTGTTCTGCAATCCCGCGGTTGAAAGTCAAAACTAAGACACCTGGAAGAAAGTTACATCCTCATGATTTCTGTGTTTGTACTGCTCACCTATCCCATCTTTATGGATCATTGTAGCTTGAAGCACACACATAAAGCATGCCACCCGATTCCACCTTGCTGTAAATGAGGCCCATGGAGACTCAGCAGAATTTAATAAGCACGAAAGCCTCATGACTCAAAGCATATGCACAATTTTCTTTCTCACTCTTCAGTAATAAGGCATATGCACAGTGTGAACCACAACCTTACTGATGGTCTTCAATTAAACTCTTGCTTAGAACTCCTTTCGTGTACAACTCACTCAGTACATATTGTGCTTCCTTCAACAGACCCTCATGGGCAAGACCTTCAATGAGTATAATGTAGGTCGACTCGTTAGGCATGCAACCGTTAGACACCATATAAGCAAAAAATTCAATAGCCTGATCTGTTTCACATCTTTTACAGAGGGCAAACAGTATCTTGTTATACATCCCAGCTTTTGGTCTCATCCCCATATCTTGCACGGCATGAAACATCTGAATGGCTTCTTCAGTTCTATCTTCTCTTGAGAGGACATCAACGACTGAAGAGTAGGTTATCGTATCTAGGGATACTCCCTTACTGACCAAACCATGCAATAGCTCCAGCGCTTCTTCTGAGTTGCAATCCTTGGTGATCCCATCGAGTAAAGTATTAAATGTGATCAGGTTAGGGGTGCAACCATGCTCCATCATTTGATACACAAGTTCGATTGCTTCCTCGACAAACCCTTTTTGACAGAAGAAACTCACAAGTACGTTGAAAGTCACCGCATTTAGAGGGCAATCCTTCTGAATCATCTCAGCCAAGAGCTCTGCAGCAGCATCCAGCTGCTCGGTATGGCACAAGCCTGTCAACAACGTAGTGTATGTAATGGTGTTGGGCTCACATGGAAGATTGTTAAACAACTCAAGAGCACTATCAACACGCCCTTGCACACAGAAGCCATGGACAAGAGCGTTGTATGTGACAATACCCACTGAACATCCATACTCCGGCATCAGTTGAATAAGCTTGATAGCTTGCTCAATCAATCCTTTCTGGCACAAGATACAGATGAATGTATTGAATGTGACCTCATTTGGGGGGCAGTTCTTTCGGACCATCTCGGGCAATAGCTCCTTGGCATGCTCCCATCGGCCGGCACGACACAAGCCCCTTAGCACAGTAGTATAGCTAATGGTATCAGGATTGCACCCATACATGCCCATGTTGTTCAAGAAGTCATAGGCATCATCCACACGACCTTGTTTACACATAGCGTTTATGACAATGTTGCACAAGGTAGTGTTGGGTGTGCATCCATGCTGTGACATTTGCTGAAGAACTTCGATCGCCCTCTCCACCATACCCCCGCGACAGAAGAATCTGACTAGCATGTCAAAGGTAACATCATTGGGCACGCAGTTCTTCTCCACCATCTCAGCAAAGAGCACCTTGACGTCGTCCCACCGCCTAGCGGCACACAAGCCCTTGAGCACGGTGGTGTAACTGACGATGTCGGGCTGGAACCCATAAGACGACAGCCGGTTCAAGATCTCCCTGGCATCGTCGACGCGGCCCTCCCTGCACATGCCGTTGATGATGACGTTGTAGGTGACAATGTTGGGCGTGCAGCCCTTGGCGCGCATCTCGTCGAGGACGTTCATGGCCTCCCCGAAGCCGCTGCTCTTGCAGACGGCCTCGAGGAGGACGGTGTAGGTGACGACGCTGGGCTGGCAGCCGCGCCGGAGCATATCGTCGAGCAGGGCGAGCGCGTCGCCGACCCTGCCGCGGTCGCAGAGGCCCCGGATGATGGGCGTGTACGTGTAGGCGTCGGGCGGGACGGGCATTGCGGCGATGAGGCGGCGCGCGGCGTCGAGGCGGCCGTAGCGGCAGTAGCCGGCGACGAGGGTGTTGTAGGCGAAGACGTCGACGGGGGCGCCGGAGGCCTCGGCGGTGCGGAGGACGCGCGCGGCGTCGGAGGTGCGGCCGCGGCGGCAGAGGTTGCGGATGAGCTTGGTGCAGAGGTAGACGTCGGGCGCCTCGCCGCGGGAGGTGGAGGTCTCGACGAGGCGCGCGGCCTCGGCGAGGTCGTCGCGCGCGATGAGGCGGCGGAGGCGGGAGCTGGCGGGCGCCGCGGAGGCGGAGGCGGAGGCGGGGCTGGGGGCCTCGGGCCTGGCGGAGGCGGCGGCGACGTGGGAGTGGTGGTGGTGGAGGTGGCGGGGCTTGGAGAGGGCGTGCGGAAACGAGGGGAGCAGCGTGGCCATGGCCGGGTAGTGGTGGTGATGCTGGCGGTAGCGTCGCGGCGTCGCGGTCGCGGACGTGTGGTGTGGGGGGCATCGCCTCGATCGGAGTTCGGGGTGGGAGGGAGATTGGGCGGGACCGGATGAGATGAGATAGATTAACGCCTGCCGTCTGATACGATTGGAGCGGTGAATCTACGTACCACACCCGTTGACTCATGCTCACGCCTCACCCATTGGCTCGATCCGATTTTGTCTAGTATGGTCGTTCGTGACTCGGTCCTCGAACTCACAAGTCGTGCACCGGTGGTCTAAGACTATCTCCAGCCCTTTTCCTAAAATCCTTTAATTTATTCCAAAAAAACCTTTAATTTCTAAAACAAAATCGTTTGAAGAATTAAGCTCAGCTAAACCCTTCCCTCGAACCTATAATCTCTCAAATATTTAACCGAAATTCAACCCACTGATTTTTCTTGTGTTATCTACCGTTTCGCACACGTGACGTCTGTCTTTGTGGGAGCT